CCCCAAAACCCCAAAACCCCAAAACCCCTAATATTAACTCCTTGGTTGAAACTTGAATAAAAGTAAGTATATGCCATCTATTATTGATCTTCTGATTCTGAAACACTTTTCTCCACTGAACTTTGCACCTATAAGGGATGTTTTTAAAAAGAATACTGCTAAATCTTTAGTTTCTTCGTTTTCTCTTGGGGTTTTATTCTTGCTAAAAATAGTTGCGTCATCCTCGAGAATATTAAAGTCTTTTTGGTCGTCACTATCACTTTTGTAGTAAGGATTTTTGGTATAATTTTCTAAAGTAAGTACAATCTTTACCATCAGATGAAATTATTGTCTTAAAGCCCTTGCTTACTCCTCCAATTTTCTCATCAGTGAAAAACTCGTAATAAAGAGAGGTCAAAGTGTCTATTTCATCTTTATATACATCTTGTTTTGTTCTGAATAGATTCATTTTATTGACTGCTGTCCTAATCTCTTCTAATTTATACTTGCTCTTAATGTCTTCTGTGAGTTTTCCCTAAAATTATAATTTGAAAATCAAACCAGTTCTTTGACAGGACGGATGGTCTTATATGTGTAGATGCATACTCAAATCCCTAACAGTGTTGACACCAAAAGAATGATTGTAAAGCTAATTACAAGCAAAGCTTCAAATTTGTCATCGATTTTATTATTCAGCTCATTACTAAAATCGTCGATGCTTGAAGGACTGACAACAACCACTAAATATAAAGCCGTAAATTACTGATTTCAAAAATACCTTCTTTATAAACCCCGAGCTTATAGATAGCTCCAGAGTTACTCTTTTGCTTGACTTTTCGAAGTTTATATGTATTTTCTTCAGAGCCTTGGATTACATCATAAAGAATCTCTAGTCTAAATATTAATATAAATTCTACTCTGTATCTAAAGCGCTATAGCTAAAAGCACTTTCTTTGAGATATGAGTGATTTCCGAGAAGATTATAAGGGTCTGCAGATATGTTTGAATTATCATCATTAATCCAAACATAATACCCAACTTTAGAATTAGTTGTTGATACATGAGGATCCAATAAGTCTTTGATTGAGCTGACGTTATAATGAACTCCAAATGCACCTTTCAGGCTTCCAGCTGTAAACCCTTTTATATATCCAAGTGCGATCTTAATGCCTCCATTGAATGGGTTCTCTTGCATTGGAATATTTACAAGTTTAGAATTGTCACTAATAGCTTCTTGATACCAACTATAACCACTGTACTGGGAAGAAGTGATTTTTGAAGTGAAATTTTGCCCTGGAACAGTTGCCAAAATCTGTGTAGTGGTTGAGGGACTACTTTCGAGCATGATAAAGGTCCGAGTGATTTCTAAGAGTGATCTATTTGCTTACCAACTCCCTCTTCACTTCCTCCTACTCTGATCTTATTAATCTGCTTCCATACTGAGTTAAGTGCATTAACTTTCTTCAAAATGTTATCACTTACTATAAATATTTGTAAATACTAAAACAATCAATCTTAAGAAAATTAATGCTCATAAGCACACAGAAACCTTAACTAGATGCAATAAGTAACTAAAACCTAACTGAAAATAAACAAAAATGGAAAGTCATTACCTGAGGTAGCGCCACTGGGAACAATATGAGTCATTTGCTCAGTATTTATTCCAAGGTTACTAAAGTCAGAACTCTGAGTCAATGTAGTTTGTGTTGGTGTAGGAAGAGTAGAAAATTCTTTCCAGTTTAGTGGGTAATCTGTCGGTGCAGTAGTACCTGCACTCTCCTCTGCTTCAAGGATTCCTGTTAAAAGGTCTCTACCTCTATCAATAATGTATTCAGAAATATTTTTGTTCATATTTAAATGTGAAGCTATTTCTCTGTGAAAAACTATAAATATTTTCCTTAAAATACCTAAGCCTTCGTGATACTCCTTATTAATAGATTTGTCGATTTGATTTTTAGCATTCGATCTCATGACGATGAGGTTTATGGAGATAATGAAGAACAAAAATAAGATCACAAAGAATAAAGAAATAGATGTACAAATAAATATTTGAACTTTGATTGAAGAAGAGTTGTAAAAGTGGCTACAATTTCATCTGCTCTTCTTTTTCTTCTCTTTGATCTTCTTCTCTTTCTTCTTTTTCTCCTTTTCAGTAATCTTATTCTTTATATTCAAGTGGGCTAGATCAAGAAGAATATTCGGAAACTTGTGGCTTCTGCTAGGCTTTAGGGAATTCTGGTGTTCATTGACCAAAGATTGGCCATCATCAATGTCGCTCATCCTATAGGTTACATATTAAGTTTACTTTTAAATTATAATTTCAATCTTTTTCCTATTTTTGGGGTTTTGGGGTTTTGGGGTTTTGGGGTTTTGGGG